ATAACATAACATAACATAACATAACATAACATAACATAACATAACATAACATAACATAACATAACATAACATAACATAACAAAATATAATATAACCCTGACTAATCTATAACGGTTCAAAGGCTGTTATTTTTGCGCTCATATTTTTGGGGGGACTATATTCGGAGGAGTCATAATCAGAATTCAGAAGAAAATGCAAAATCAATTTTTCAAATTTTAAGGAAAAGTTGGTCATGATTCCGAGAAACATGAGATCAGGCTGCAAAGATGGCAGTTATTTGAAAAAGTCACAGAAAAGATAGCTAGTGACGCTCCAGAACATTTAAGATAAAAAGCATTTCAAACAAAATGCTAGAAGTGCGTTAAAAAAAATTGAAGAATAGAATTCGTTATTCTCTCATTTTCTCTCGGTAATGGTGTGTAACCGCGTTGAAGGGAGAAAATGATGTCTTTATATTTAATTCCAAAGATAAGCTGGGCTAATATTTGAAAGCTTGTTGACATCCAAGGAATCGGGGCTTATATTCGGCGGGATCTGTTTTTCGGAAAAGATTTTATTCGAAACGGTGCGGTACTCTAAATGGGTTGGAAATGATGCTTTTAGACAGTCAATTATCTTTTTCTAGTTTGATCGAGATAAGAAATAGAAAGGAGTACTCGTTACGACTGTACTCGTTACTCATTTGGTCACAAACCCATTTGGTTCTGTTAATCTACTTTCGGGTTCAATTCAACATTGCCCTTTCTACACTAAATCTAGAATGATTCAGTATGATGCTTGCTTTAAATCTGTGGACTAGTATATTTTTCCATACTTCTACTTACTATCGCACGAAAGTCCGATGCTCGGATTTCCAGTGTATCCTAGTTTGCAAGTGCATTGTGCTACCTGAGTGTTGCCAGTAGTTCCGTTTGTGCCGGAGTTAGAAGGACAGGCTTTGCAAGCAGTTACCATGCCAGCTCTGTCTCCATATGTGTCAACAGGGCAACCTGGAGAAGAATGGGGTTTTCTAGTCTTTTCATGTAAAAAAATACTAAATACTAATGCAAAGATTATATCCACACAAAAATGAGATATAATTGAATAACTGCAAAACATCACAGTTTAAAGTGCGTGGTACGAACCTGCATTCTAAACTGGTACGGTGCATTCTACTTTGGTAAACAGAAAAAACTCTAGCTTACAGTTACGCACACAGACACGATTCTTCTTTATCCCATCTGCGTAGCTATAGATATTTGTTTGGATGGACAAACTCGACCAAGAGTCGTGCCTTAGGAAAGTTTTTAAACATGGCAACAAATACATAAAAGCCAATAGAGTGTTTCTATGTATTTAATCTCGCATGCAGCTGTAGAGTAAGTGGTCAAATGTTTATCAAGGGGCACAATCCTGCATGGCTCCCCTACAATGGCCTGATCTTAAGACCGCTAACTTGAAAGTCAAAGTGAAAGTCAAGGGTCTGGAACACAGGCTACCCTACAGTTATTTGAGTGTTGACTACCCTGGATACAAGATCCTCTTAAACTCAAGTGTGGAAATGGAAAATAGCGGAGCACAGAAGCGGGGTATGTGGGGTAAAAGATGCAGATTTACAAATTACAGCTATCTTGGTTTATGAAAATGTGACATGCGCCATCACAATGAATATACAATTAAAAGTATTGCTTATTCTTACGATGACACGTTGAGCCAGAGCTCTGCTTTTCAGCGGTGCCATAATACCCAACTTTGCAAGCACATTTGTATTTGCCGCTCTTCAGATTGCAACCACAGAATGCATTACTGTCACATCCTTCTCTGCATTCTAACGGGTCGACTGAAGCTGTTTCGTAATCTTTCTCGTAAGGATCTGAAAAGCAATTACGTTTTATAATTCAAAGTGGTATTGAAGAAAGCAAGCATTTGGAAACATTCTACTAAAGCTTATCGTCTTCGTCGAACACTCTTCAGCTCATAAGACGTTAACATCTACCCATTTGTGAATCGAAATTCTGTACTCTGAAGAGTTTCAGACGAAAAGCTTTAGTAACATGTTTGCATTTTTCAAGGCCATTTTTAAAAATCTATATGCAACCTCTCTAGAGTTTTCAACCTTCGATTTTAAAGACAAATGTATGGTCCAAACAAAAAGGTGCTTGTCTTTATTCACGAAAGCAGTGTTTTTGACTCGAAAGGGAGTTGTTCCATCGCTCTTTACATTCCCATATCTTTCTCATGTTCTATTCACCCCGTAATTTCTGGATAGCATTGTAATGAAAAACCTAAATTACCTCCTCTTATTGACTTTGCCAAGTTTGTGAGGTCAGTGAAAGTTGGTTGGTAGATGTAAAGAGAAGGATCAGTGGCCAAAGTATTCTGCATGAAATTCTGATCGAGCCCATCTGTAATGCCAACAGCATACATCTCAACGAAACCCAACTGCTTAATCTTGCGCACATCTGGTGTCAAGTCAATGTTCCAAACTACAGTGCCATCAGCTCTCATATTTGGCCTTCCATCGCTCAAAACCATGATCACTTTGTTGGCTTTCTGCCTATAATAATACTTTTGAGGGTTGCTAATTAACTGCAAAAAAACATTGTACGCATCTTGAAGGGAGCCTTGCATGTTAGTCATAACACCCATGTTGCCACTTTGGTAAGTAACTTTCTCAAAATCACGCGCAAAGCTGAAAGTAAATGGATAAAAATTCATTATTAAAACAACCAATTTCAAACTTTACAAAAAGATGTCCTTGTCGGGAAGCAATACTTTCTGAAACCAGTGCACTAGCTGCAAAGGTTGCTCACCCCAGTTTCAAGCATACTAACTGAGACTTATTTCACAATGGCTTAGCATAACTTGCTTGCATGCTGTGACTGAAGCAAATTTGCTGCTGTATCTAAATGATATTAAAGTATCATATTCGTTTTGGTAAGGAAGTTCAACTTAAAAAAGTTAAGGCAAGAAAAACTAAGTTGATTCACTTGAAACAAGTGACTTCACCAAACCAATAAATCAGCCAGCATTATATATAGCAAGTACACTGTATTTAAGATTGGCCCTAAAAGGTGGTATTGCTGGAAAAGGCTGGAGTCGCTTTCATTCACATTAATAGAAAATAGTTTAAGAAGAGCATACCGACACTTGTGACTGGCAGGCCCTGTATCTTTCGTGAGATAATTCAACTCCAGTCTATGTGTAGATGCGAAGGTTCCAATAGTGATTCTGGTTGCATTGAAAGCCACCCTTACTTCAGTAAGTAAGGCGTCGACAAAATCTTTCGCAGCATTCCAGCCACTTTGCATCATACTGCCTGACTTGTCTATCAGGATGATTAAATCTGACTCCCCATGCTCAACTTCACTTCCCCAACAGTTGAGAAATTTTCTGCTAACGCTATTAACTGCGCTGTTTTCCTTAAGAGGTCTTTTGTAATCTTCGCATGTTAGGGAGGTACAAAACTCGATATGCAACGAGCCAACAAAAATTAACAGAAGCAGCACTGGGTTCATTTTGTCTGTCACTGTCCCTAGACATCAGACAAAGTACTTCTCTTCGCCCAGTTGTCAGGTCTTTATTCTACACTCTTCACACTTTAACTAGATGTTCTGGGGCCTCTTGTCAATCATGTGGCCAGTCAATGACGAAATTTGACTTAACTTGATCAGCTTTTGTTTATACAGGTGAGCGTCTGCTCAAACATGAATCAATCTGGCCGTTACACCAAATATGTTGGATCTCATAAACCATCATCAACAGATAAAGAATACACCACCAACGATATATATTAAGCAATATAAATTAATTTTAACTAGATATATTTAAAAATCAGTAAGACCTAACTCATAATTTTCCTTTTCCCTTGACTTGAACCATACGCACTTTACACTTCGTATCTCTAAACTTATTTTCAAAATCAATAAAAGTCCGGTCTGAAGGCACAACAATCGTGCAAAATATGATACCAGCAATAAAACTTAACAAGCTATGTAGTTCGAGATGTAGAATAAAATGCGAAACAGACCCAAGCCGGGAAATGTCGCTAAAAGCTGTTTTTAGAACATTTAATTTGGTCCCAGGAAGTCACTTTCTAGCGATAAAACGAGTTTATGTCTCCAATATTTGGTATTCATATACAATCTGAAGTGTAAAATGTCACGTCAAGCAATAAAGTCCATAAATTGCCCCATATTCTATTTTTAGACCATTGAATTTGGTCCAAGTCCCCAAAATCTAAAATGACTTGCGAGCAATATAGCGGTAGTTTGTCTGCAAAATTTGGTAATCATATACAGTCTGAAGCTTAAGACATCGTGGCAAGAAAAGAAGGTCCATGAATTGCTCTATTTTTAGCACATTGAATTTGGTCCCAGTCCTCAAAATGTAAAAAGCATATTTCCACAAAATTTAGTATTCATATCCGATCTAAGGTGTACAATGGCATGGCAAGAAAATAAGGTCCCTGAAGTACCCCATTATTTTTTCTAGAACAATTAACTTGGCTGCATTCCTCAAAATAAAAAAGTGATTTGCGAGCGATGTAGCCTGTGTATCTCCGCAATTGGTAATTATATACCGTACGATCTGATAGATGAAGTATATTGCAAAGTCTAGTTAAGACCATAAATTTCCCCCATTTTCATTTGATAAGCAAATGCAACCTCTAGAAGCATCATTAGAAAGCGCATAAATTATAAACATTCGTATGTATTTTACTGCCTAAGAATGGAAGCGCATAAATTATAAACATTCGTATGTATTTTACTGCCAAAGAATGGAATTAGCACCGAAATTGCCCTAGATTCGCTTTTTAGAAGTGGGTACTTGGTCCAAAATTTCAAGTTGGGTGTTGTCTGAACTGACTATTCATTCATCCGGATCAACATATTTTTCAATACATTGTAAAAATTCTGTGCACACTTGTCCATAACGCTGGCACTTGCATCTAGAGTGACAATTCCTCGTGCACCTGCATTAAACCAGCTCGTGACAGGCATTCGGTGCTTCAAGCATAAGTGTTCATTTTCGCGTCACTGTTCGTACTTCACCATCTGTCACTTGTCATCCATATTCAATAAAGTCACGAGCAGTTTGCCATAGGTTAAAGATTGGCCCTAAATGGTCCTAAAAACAAAATGTAAGTTTCTATCAGCTGCACCTTTGTAGGCTTTGCCTAAGCAAGAATTGTTAGCTCTTTTGTGATTCTATTACAGGACACAATGCATTTTTGCAAAAGGTCTCTCACCTCAATTGTATTCGCATATAAACATATGCAAGTCTTCAACCCAAGTGGCATATCATTTTTTTGTCGTTGGCTACATCACAGTAGCACATTTAGAACATGAAATTGGTGCAGGGCAGTGGTATTGCTCATGTCAATGGTTTCTGGAAATAATTAGCACTAACAATATTTAACAAGCCTTCATTGTTAGTGGCTGGTTTTAAAATGGAGGGGGCAAGGGAAAATTTTCCAATAATAAGACACACTTGCAAAATGGTCTATTGTTTTGCAAAAACATTACTGCGGCCATGAACAATCTTTGTGAACAGCATTTAAAACACTCATCTATTGTTGATAGCCGACAAGTACGATCGTAAAGCAGAATAGACCTCTCAATGGACTGAACATCATCCTTAGTAAGGTCTCTAGCGTTTCCCTCTCGACATCCTATGAATAGAAAAAGACTATCATAGTGCCAGGGGAGGCTACTAACGCACTAAATCAAGACAGCAATTTAGTTTCTAGCTACAGCAATAAAATTGAAATATTGTTTAAAGTGCCTAAATGAAAAACGTTTCTGTAATACCAAGGTTTGGTTTTCAAAATCCCATCCACTACTCTTCCTCTACCGCAGAGTGGTAAAACTGTATCACATCCTGTAAAAGCATACCAACAACGTCACCCACTGCAAATACTTACTTCAAGTTTTGCAGCATACGTGTGTATTTGGAATCATCACTTTTTATCCGTTCAAACATCATCCAAACCAAACTCAATCCACAACTTTTCGATGTTGAGCTCTCGAAAAAGGGAGGCCACCATTGCAATGACCTCTGTGTGTACTGTCCAGATGCTGAATTCTTGGTGAATTGTTTCTGCTGCATTTTTTGTGTGAAAGAAAATGCACGCGATTTTTGTGTGAAGAAAGATGCACGAGAATAAATTACAAAACAAAACGCTGCACATTGATTCAGAGTGTCATACGTATGTTTTTTAAAAAATGTGATATTTCAAAAAGCTGCAAACTGTTTCTATTATTAAAAAAAGGCATGGGAAATGAAAATGGAATAATTTATGAACTTTGTTTGCTTTGCGTCATAATTCATGCATGAATTTTGCAAAGATAGACTTATCAAATGCACTTTTGGCAATTTATTCACTTTGTGAACTTGGTAAGGACCAAATTAATTCTAAAAATGGAGCTTACATTTTTGACATGACATTTCAAACTTCAGATTGTATATAAATATTAAAGTTTGCAGATATAATCGCATTAACTCGATCGCAAGTGACTTTTTCATTTTGAGGACTGGGACCAAGTTCATTGTTCTAGAAATAGAAAATGGGGCAATTTATGAACCTTATTGCTTGGCATGACGTTTCTCACCTCAGATGGTATATTGTGCAAACATACACTCGTAATATCGCTCGAAAATGACTTTTTCTTTTCGAGGACTGGGACGAAGTTCAATCTTCTAAAAATAGAATATTGGGCGATCAATGGACCGTATTGCTTGGCATGACATTTCACACATATAATGATAAAAATTTTTGACACTTCACGCATCATGTTTGCACCTTACAAAGGAATCCAAATTCCCAAAGAAAGTAATTGATTATTATGAGGAATGAATAAAAGAAACAGCTGTTTATAAAATTCAAATATTCAGCCATTGGGGAGAATTTTTCAGATAAATTAAAAAAGCCAACTTTTTCGGAATATTCCGAATCATGTATTTCAAAGGCAAACAAAAATTCCAACAGTTTTTAGGTCAAGAATTGGATGGACTTTGGAAAAGGGAAAAATCCAAACTGGGCAACCGTGCGTGCTGTGGCATAGTGCATAGTACATTTCTGACCTAAGCCTTTACAGTTCTTTCCTTAAAATGGTGACATGTAATAGGAAGGTTTTGCAAATTTCTGAAATAACCTTTTATTGTAGCTCGTATCAATGCTTTTTAGATTTTAAAAAAGGATGCCAAAACGAACATGGAAGGAGGAAATAATGAATCAAGCTTTTATTACAAAACATAACATTGAAATATTAAAAGAATCACGTGTCAAAATCAAAAATGAAAGATTATGCAATACAAAATTTTTCAATTCTATTTTCTCAAAATTTTCTTTCCATGCAGTTTCTTTTCCTTCAAATATTTTTTTGAGAAACTTTCCGTTCCAACAAATAGACCTTGGGGAGGGCGAAAGTTTAGGCTATATAAATAAAACTCTCATTTGTTGCAGGCCAGCAAAGTCCAAACGAAAAAGCTTAAGTATGTTGTAGATGTTTTTCAAAGCCCATTTTCAAATCAAGCTCTGTTACTTATTTCCTCCCTAACGTTTTAATGGATTTCAAATTAATTTTATTTTTATGAAAGGCGGAGGCGTTTCAGGTGGGCTAGGAGGACACGGCCAAGCAAATATTTCCCACCTCTTTCCAACTTTTCCACCGCTGAACACGACTTTAGTCTATTCGTCCAACAGTTGTCTAGATTACTTTATATGCTCTTTGAGATATCCTGCATATCCGTAGGTGGTGTGGAACGAGGTTGATACTACAGAATTTAGATTTTTGGAATCAAGAAGGCCATTAAGGTTGTAAAAAATTTCGCACTGTCCATGTTCTCTCATAGTTGTTCATTATTGCATTAG